AAGTTAACAGTTAATCAACAGCCAGCCAGTCAACAACAAGTAAGTTAACAGTTAATCAACAGCCAGCCAGTTAACAGCAATTAAATTAATAGTTAGGTTATTCTTGACAGTCAATCAATAGCTAGTCAGTTAACAGCGAGTGAAGCAGTCAGTTAATCCTTAACAATCAATCAACAGCCAGCTAATCAACGGCTAGTTCATCAACAGCCAGTTAATCAACGGCCAGTTAATTATCAGCCAGTGGCTAAGAGCTTATTACGGACTTAAAATTGGTATATTATTAGATGATTGTTATGAGGCTATTTCGGCCAAGAGTGATTTTGATGAACTTCTGATTGGTCCATCGATAACTATGAAATACATCAATAGGTAAATCAAATTTAGATCGGAAGATTCGAAATCGACGTTACAAAGTTCGGGTTCATGGTAAGAAGGATTTGTCAATCAGGCTGGCGGCGGGGAGGTCGTGCGGCGAATGACTCGATCGGTCAAAGGCCAGAAGCGGGGTGATGATACTGCGAGAAATTCAAAGCTGGCGTTTTCGAATGGATAAATGCGCAAAAGACGTCACGGATTATCTGTGAGACTGAATAATTGTTGTATTTTTTTTGGTGGTCTCTACCTTGTCAACTTTGCGCGTTTGGTGTGCAAGGGTCCTGCCTACCCTGAAGCCAAAGTCACACCTTTGTTTGCACGCGGCCACGCTCACGCGCGCACGCCAAATCAAAACCCAATCCCAGCCTCAACAGCATGGCCGCCTGCAACAATGGCTTCAAAGTCATGGCCAGCCAAGAGTGCAATGGCAGAAGTCTCGACATGACGCTCGCTGCGGAGCAGGCCATCTTCGGGCTCATTCCGGCAGCCATCTTCCTCATCACTACAATGCTGAGGGTGTTGTATCTCTCTCGACAGCCAATCAGGACCGTAGATAGCCTCGCTCGTAAAGCGAAGCTGGTACGTGAGAAGATCAAGTACTGATCCTGACGGCTCATCTCTAACAATGGTCACCAGGTCGCCGCTTTTGTCTTTGCCGCCATTCAAACGACTCTTCTTGTTCTTTGGACACGCATTGGACCACAGGATGCCAAATTGAGCATTGCTTCTTCCTCAATGGATCTAATTGCAGCTGCTATCCTCCCTGTCCTAGGCCACATGGAGGATCGTCGAGCCGTCAGGCCATCCACCATCCTCAGTGCATATCTCGCTTTCACGGTTCTGCTGGATCTTGCTCAGGCTCGCACTCTCTGGCTGGTTGGCTTCAACATCCCAATCGCAGCCATGTTTGTCAGTCGGCTTGCCAGCAAATTGGTCCTTCTCGTCTTCGAAGTTCGATCCAAGCGAGGCGTCTTGAAGCCAGAGTACCACGAGCTGCCGCCCGAGGCTACTGCGAGCATCATCAGCCGAAGTTTCCAGTTCTGGTTAAATGGCCTCTTCGTCACGGGTTTCCGATCGAAACTCTCCATCAACCATCTCCCCCGCCTAGATCCTGACTTGGCCGGCGCGCATCTCAGCCGCAAGTTCCAGTATGCGTGGATAGCGAGACAGAGACCAGAACGGCGTTTCGAATTCGTATACGCTGTGCTTCGCGCCTTCTGGAAACAGCTTTCTTTGGCTGCATTCCCTCGATTTCTTGACATTGGTTTCACCTTTGCACAAGTGTTCCTCATTCAACGCACCTTGACGCTTCTCGAGGAGCCAGTTACTGAAGAGAGTACATCGGTCGGATATAGCCTCATCGGGGCTACCGCTCTAATCTACCTCGGACTGGCAGTATGCAAGCTGCATTACAACCAGGCAATGCACCGCTTCATAATAATGTTTCGCGGTAGTGCTGAGTGCTGTATCTACGATCATCTCCTGTGTCTCGCCGACGGCGACGGCAACAAGTCTGCCACCCTTACGCTTATGAGCGCAGATTTAGACCGCATTGCCGCTGCTTTACCTGAACTAAACGAAGTTTGGTCACAGACTATTGAAGTTATAATTGGAGTAGCTCTGCTGTCGCTGCAGCTTGGTTGGGTCTCTGTCGTGCCTATTGTTCTCGTTATCATCTCCTTCATAGGAGGTGCCCTGATAACCAAGACCATTGGAAACAAACAGAAGATTTGGGTCAACGCCGTCCAGTCCCGCGTGTCGTTCACGTCCTCTATCTTGGCAGGCATGAGAAATATCAAGATGCTTGGATTGCGCGACATCATCGCGTCTATGCTTCAGCAGTATCGTATCGACGAGACAATTCGCATGGCGGCGTTTCGATGGAGCATTCTCTGGCAAAACGTCGTCCAGAACCTGCCCTGGGCCCTCACACCGGCATTGACGTTTGCCATCTACGCTGGTCAGGCTCTTACTCGCGGAAACGAGACTCTAGATGTAGTCACAGCTTTCTCAAGTTTAGCCATCATCCACCTCCTGACTGACCCTACTGCGAAGCTCGTCAGCGCCATCCCGTCCACAGCATCAACCATTGGATGTTTTGACCGCATTCAAGCTTTCTTGCTCACCAAACCAAAGGGTGATCAACGCTCACTTGAAGCATGGTCTTCGTCTGATGTGCAGTCAGCAATCGATGGTGGTATCGAATTAAAAGACCTCACCCAGATTCGAAATCAGGTTCCATCTTCGGCGAATGCCATCCAAGTTGAGAACGTCACTCTCCGACCAGCACCACAAGCCGATCCAATCCTCACAAATATGAACTTCTCAGTCCCGCATGCATCATTAACTATTCTCGCTGGACCAGTTCGCGCGGGTAAATCAAGCCTACTCAAATCTCTCCTCGGCGAAATACCCATCGAACAAGGTGGTTCCCTGTCTATATCCGACTGTCGCACCGCATACTGCTCTCAGAGTCCCTGGCTGCCCAACACTACTCTCAAAGCTGCCATTCTCGGCCCCGTTACCACCGCCAACCCATACGATGAAGCTAGATACCAAAAATGCCTGCGTATCTGCGACTTGGATCACGACATTAGCCGGTTTGAGAACGGCGACCACACCGAGCTTGGCTCGAACGGATCGTGCCTCAGCGGCGGTCAGCGGCACCGTGTGGCCCTCGCTCGCGCTCTATACTCCGGCGCTCAGATGCTGATTTTGGATGATGTCTTCGCCGCATTGGACTGGGCGACGCAGAGAAAGATCTTCATGGCATTGTTTGGCGAGGGCGGCTTCCTCCGAGACAGCAGGACCACAACTCTTTTAGCTACGTCCAACACAAACTTTCTCAAGTACGCTGACAAAGTTCTTGTTCTGACCGATGAAACCGTCGAGGAAACGTCTAGCCAAGATGCCGAAGCCCTTCAGCTCAAGCACGCCAGTGACGCGTCCGTTACTCCAGTCACCGTGCCACCTGCCCACGCCGATGTCTCTAAGCTCAAGCGAGCACAACAAATCGACGATCTGAGCAGGTCAACGGGGGATTTGGCGGTCTATAAATACTATTGTCGCCATGTACATTGGTTTCCCGGGCTTTTCTTCCTCTTTTTCGCCGCCGTCAACGTCTTCAGCTCCGGCTTTTCTCAGATCTGGCTGAAGTGGTGGACAGAGGCAGGCGGTGCGCGGATTGGCGTATACACCAGCGTGTTAATTTGCCTCGCATTTCTCAACTCATTCTCAATGGGGGCGTATGTTTGGGCAATCATCATCAAGATATCTCCTTCGACGGCTCGCAAATTCCACGCCATTCTCGTACGAACTGTCATGCATGCCCCGCAGGCCCTTTTTACCAGCACAGACAGCGGCGTCATCTTGAACAGGTTCACGCAGGACATGACTATCATCGAAGGACAGCTGGCCACTGGTGTGCTCGTGAGCGTCACAAACCTCTTTTTCGCGTTGCAGGCTGCAGGGCTCGTCGCAACCGGCTCCTCATACATGGCCGCCACCATTCCGCTTCTTGTGTTTGCCATCTGGGCCTTGCAGATGATTTACCTTCGCACGTCTCGACAGCTCCGTATACTCGACATTGAAGCAAAGAGTCCGCTGTACACTCACTTTGCGGAGACTGCATCTGGACTAATGACTATCCGCACATTTGCTTGGGCGCAGGCATTCCAGGACGTCAATTTTGAGCTACTCGACCAGTCCCAGCGACCATGCTACCTCCTCTACTGCATTCAGATATGGCTCGGCCTCGTACTCGATCTAATTGTGGCCGCTGAAGCAGTTTTCGTCGTCAGCTTAGCTGTTGGTATTCGCGGATCAACAAGCGCCGGTCTTGCCGGTGTTTCGCTCAACAACGTTTTGTCTTTCAGTGCCGCCCTCTCGAACTTTCTCAGCGGTTGGACCATGCTGGAAACCTCGCTAGGTTCTATTGCGCGTCTCAAGGGCTTTGAGGCAGCTGTGCAGCCAGAAGACAGGGCGGAGGAATGTGCGGTAGCCACTGCGCAATGGCCAGCGAATGGTGCAATCCAGTTCAACGACCTGAGCGCATTTTACGAAGACAGCTCGTCTGGCGTCCGGGATTTTAGCCTCACAATCGAGCCAGGACAGACTGTTGGAATATGCGGGCGCACAGGAAGCGGCAAAAGCTCCATTATAGGCGCAGTGCTTCGCCTCGTAGAAGTCCACTCTGGTACCATCGTCATCGACGGGATAGATATTACCACATTGCCCCGCCAAGTCATTCGCGAACGGCTCCTCGTCGCCACACAAGATCCTCTAATCATACCAGCTAGCCTCCGAGTCAATATTGACCCTGAAGGCAACGCAACCGATGAAGTCGTATCCACCGTATTAAAGCGCGTCGGTCTTGCCCATCTTATCGAACGACTGGGCGGGTTTGACCACGAGGTCAAAGCCGACGACTTGTCCCGCGGTGAGCAACTTCTCCTTGGCCTAGCACGGCTTATTCTCTCCAAGAAGAGCGACAAGGGCATTCTTCTCCTCGATGAGGCGACGAGTAACTTGGATGCCGACGCAGAAGAAGCAATACAAAGAGTGTTAAAGGAAGACTTCGAGGCGTACACCAAAATCGTCGTGGCGCATCACCTGCACACCATTTTAGATTCGGACGTCATGGTCATCATGGAGCAGGGCAGGCTAGTGGAGGTGGGTAGCCCGGAAACGCTTTTACAAAGGCGGGATGGAAAGTTGTTTAATTTGATGGAATTACAGCTTTAGATTTGCATTAATTCTTTTTATAGAAAACAAGAGCTTATGAATATGCAACGTACTAGCTATGTGCAGTTGAATCGAACCTTGCGCCGATTGGAAAGTAGCTGCATCCAGCTACATGAAGTGGTATAATTTGCACTTAATGCCAACTACACAAAGAATTGCCATGTGCTGTACTGTATTAAGAGCTATTCTATAGGCACAACTAGAGGGAGAATTGGGACGAGGTACTGTCCTAAGCAAAGTAGGTCGTAAACTGCGTTACGCCTAGGTAGAGAATGGAACCTGCAGGGTATTGTGCGGGGGAGGGGCGGGAATTACAGGCTACAAGCGCCGCCACAATCCCCAAAATGGCGTAGGTTCGGGACTCCATGTCCATGGCCATTTTTTTAAAGTGATGTCAAGATTAAGGCCGGCGTGTTCAATCTGATTCTGTTATTCTGAGACTGGCATGCATCATCATATCCTCAACCTCTTAGTTAAGCAAAAGGTTCCTTGCTTAACGCTCAAGTTACTGTAATAAAAGCTGCTTGATTCGGGAGTTTCTGAATGAAAGTGGGAGGAATCGAGCCAATCAGCGGCTGCCAAGGCAACGCATCGACGTTACTGCAACCCGGAACCCTTGTCAAGTCGGGCGTTTAGCAGATCCTTTACAATGACGAGCGTAAGCCGGGCGTCGGGAGCGTGGGACTTATCTGATCATCAACAAGGTGACTCGATCATGCGTATAGCCATTGGTCATGGGTGTAATCTAGGTCTCGGTAGCGAGCCTGGAACTGTGCGCCGCCCTTGCGTGCCGGGCGACTAGCCCCGGCGTCGGCAGCAGAATTGGCGCCGGCGTCGGGGCGCAGCAGAACTTATAACTCGGCAACGAATTGAGCCATACCATTGTGCGTGCTCATATTTTGGATTTTTTTTTTTTATAGATTCTTGGGCTTTCGTGATTTGTAAAGCGATTTGTGCTTCACACCAAGCCACCGAGCTTGACACAGCCACTCTATCCCCAAGTTATGCCCATCAGCAGCCACCCAAAGTTTCTCCTCGCCACCACCAAGCTTTATTGTTTGCATCCATTTGTAAACATTTCTCAGTTATAGAAAACCCCCCTTATATCTTCGAACCAGGCCACTTTGAACTTCCTCACAAGTCAGACAGACTCTATTATCATGCCGAATTCATTGTGGTCGCTCGCCAGAGCTCGCGTTAAGCAGGCCTACAACAACACCAACAACAAAAACAAAAACACCACCACCACCACCACCACGCTGGGCCGACCGACAATCGCAGCAATGACAACAAATACGGCGACCAAATGCAAAGCACTTCCTTTGCATCCAGGCTCTCAGCCCCCATCTTACGAAGATGTAAGTAACCACAGTACTCTCTACAGAGGTGGCCTTCAAAAGTCCGGTATGGCGAAGGGTCGCTATCGACTGCTAACATTCACAATACAGTCTATTCCAGATCTAGGAGAATTGGACCATCTTCTGCGAAGAATATTTGAAAATCAGCTCTATAGCCCCTTGGCACGCCTTCCAGATCACATTCTCGTCAATATCATGAGGTCTTCTGATCTTAAGAGTCTTTTCAGGCTGCGACATACCTCCCGCATCTTCATGATTCTCTTTAGTGTCAATCCGACGTTCAAGTCCTTGCACTTGACGTCAGATGATCACCAACGATTCTACGACACGGCAAGACTTTGGGAGGTACCGCGTCGCATTATCCCCACGCATCAAGAAGCATTCTTCCTCGAATCCCGACGCATATGTCAAGTTTGTTTAAATAGTCGAAGAGGAGACCGTCTAGGGAGAACGCTGCTATTAAGCATGCCGGTTCTTTATTGTTCAGGCTGCCGCACAACCCACCGGGAAATGCACTTCTCCGCACGTATGCGAAATGCGATAGACGACGATAGAGTATGTGTTGGACACGAAGGCCATCTAATTCTGTGCGCCCATCGATGTGTTAGTCTACAACAAGCGAAGCTTGACGCAGCCTCCGGAGCGAAGAGCCTATGCTGTTCCTTCAAACACGATATATCTCGGCCTACTTGCGGCTCAAATACCTGTCCGGCTGATAACCGGCCGCAGGTACAAGCTTACTATGATCAGTACAGCAAACTACGAATTAGTATTTCTTTCACGTCCCATATCAAACTCAATAGGCTACGAAACGGAAAAATATGTCCTTCAAGCCTGCGGAGAGAATTAATACGCTCTCACACGCATGAAGATATAGGGCTTTGGCATAGAATGCTTACTAGGACCAATCAGGATGAGATGCAGGCTTTCGACCCAAATGTCTGTGATTGTGTCGATTACTATCTAGACCATCCCTCGCTACAGCTTCAGCGTCCAATACGCACCTGTCCTGCGCCAGCCATTGCGCGCTGGCAGGAATCGGCGCCAGAAGGCGGCTTCATTAGCGAGACGGGCCGCTGTGCCTACAAGCGCCATGGCTTCACCTTTGACGGGGTAGGCATTCAGCTGCGCGTCGACTTTTTGAAATGCCACGATGCGACAAAGGAAATGCTGGCCATGCGCAAGACGCTTGTTTGCGCCATCGATCCAGATGCGGCCTCGTCGGCAGGCTGGGGCGATGTCGTCTCCTGGATGTCTTCTGACACAATAGCTGACCCAAAGCAGCGGGGTTTGTTTTACTGTCCGCGAGGAAATTGCGACACCTGGAGACTTCAGACCTTTGACGTGCACCTTCGCGCGATTGAGGCAAGACAGATGCAACGGGAAAAGCTGGCCAGTACTACGACAAAGAATGGCAAAAGAAAGGCAAGACGGCGGGGGCGACGAGGAGGAGGAGGAGAATGATTCGGGGGGCGACTATGATTGCTCAGCAGAAATTGCTCGCGGGGAACGACGTCTGCAAGGCCAGCAGGATTAAGGGATTATGAGCATGGCGGGCCTGTTCCTTCAACATGAGAAAGGGAGATTGTTTTCTTCTCGCAATAGCTTACGACACCAGATGAATTTTCCAACTATTGAAAGCTAGGGGTACCCGATCACAATCGTGCTCTTTAGTGGCAGCGTGCGGTAACTTGCAGGTGTTGAGCCCATGATGAGTCTGAGCCCTGAGCCATGCAAATGACTTCTGTGTGTCCCTCCCTCCTCCACTCTCAAACTTGTCGATCTGGCCTGTTCGTCTGCAGACTCGGTCATTTTTTCGTGCAGATTTATGACCACAGCCAGGAGTAGCGAATGTCAGGTAAACCATGGTTCGGCATCGCATCATCATAGCTTGAAATCGGCATTGACCCTTTCCCATCCTACGGCCGATTCTTTCATGGCCGCCACGCGCTCCGTCAGCCTCGTCTTCAACGCCTTGTTCTTTTCCGTGCACAGCTCGTACATGGTCGACAAGTTGAACAGCAGCGTGCGCGACGAGTAGCCCTTGTCCACCAGCCCCTCGAGGATATCCCGCCCTTCCACGATACGGCCCAGATACAGCAGGCAAATGGCCGTGTTCACGGACACCATTTCGTCATCCAGCGCCGCCCGTAGCGCCTGCCACCGCGCCAGCGCCCCCTCGTAGTCCGCCTCGGCCATGTCGCAGAGCGCGAGGATAATGCCCTCCGTAGTCTCCGCGTTGTCGGCACACTGCCGCGCACACGCCCGCGCGCTCTCCGCATCTCCCAGCTGCAGCCACAGCAGCGCCCGGCACAATTCCAGTCGCGCGTCGCCGCAGCTCCGCAGACTCCGCAGCTGGTGCGCCGCACCAGGCAGGTCGTCCATGTCGATGAGCGCGCCGGCGACCTTGACGCCGAGCTCCTGCAGGCGTTCCTTCCACAGCTCGCTCTCCGAGTTTTCATAGCGCGCCGCAGCCTTGGCGATGTGCTCGCGGGCCTCGCGGGCCAAGTCGTGGTAGCTCATGACGGCGCGGCGCGGGTCGCCAAAGCCGAGCGCCTGCAGCCGCACGTTGAGTACGCGCAGCGGCCACGGCACTAGGTGTGCGCCGGTGGTCTCGTCGACATAGGTGCGGATGCTCGTGAGGTCTTCGAGCGCCTTGACCTCCTGCGCGGCGAGCGAGGTGGCGTCGATGAGCGTCAGGCATGCGAGGCGCGTGTACAGCAGGTCAAAAATGCGCGGCGCGTCGTGCGGGTCGACACCGGGGCGGGTGCCGCTGCCGGTGAGTTCCTGCACGGCGGCGATGGCGGCGGCGCGAAAATGCCCACGGGCGAGGAGCTCTTCGGGACGGCCGCTGAGATCGGGCTGCCGGGATGAGCTGCGGAAGGCGAGGGGTACATTGAGAGGGGTTAGGGGATGGTAGATTTCGGGACGGAGCAGAAAGGAAAAGTCTTTGCGGTGAGGCTCGCCTATTTGTGAGACTGGTGACGAGACCGTTTGCTGCCCGCGTGGGGATGCTGTGCTCCTGCGAATGCTAGAGTGTGGTGACGTCTGTGCTGCCGGGGTGCCAGGATTTGATAAGGGATCACTTGAGACGTCAATATCTAGCGATCATGTCTGAACGGAGATTGAACACTCACTCATCGGCGTCCAACGGTCCTTTGGTTGATGCCCGCGGCCTGGAAGCTGGTGATGTTAGCTTGGCACGTATTTGGTAGGTGGAGGTGATCGCTGGTGATACATACTCCGCGATGTTGATGATTTGTTCCTTGTATGCACTTTGGCTGATGACTTCGTCGGCTGGCTCATTGTGATTTAATTATGCTGGCATATGAGGAACAATCTGGGCTTCGTGAGTTGTAACTTGAAGTCTGGACAGCTGTAGCTCCAGTGGGAGCCCGCGGGTAATTGCCGGTTAGTTAGCAGAGCTGAAGCCAGCTGGAGCACGTCGTCCAGCGTTGCAATCCTCTGTAACTACATGGGTCGGCCACTGTAAATCCAATGCCTCTGCATCAATCAGCAACACCACCATCAACCCACTGTCCACAACCATCACGATAATCATCATCACCATTACCACTACCACCAGTATATCGCTACAGCAGTCTTCGAGCCCATCGCCCCAACTTGTAGCTCTAGCACCCTCACGAACCACGCTATCTCTGCCGGTCCACATCTACAGCGTCAATACTGCCATCACCATGGCCACCTGGGGCATCATCTACAGGGCCTCACTTACAGCGCATCACAGATATCATCGCAGAACGGAGACCCAAGATTAAAGAAAAAGAGCTTATATTCAAACCACACATCACTGCCCCAACCTCCTTGGCCTCCTCCACTGTCAACTGTTAGTGTCCACACCCACCAAAGTCTTCCCTCATTGACCCTCACCCACCCATCCACCTAGCAGGAGAGCCGGCAGCGAGCAATTTATTTCGCCCCAGACCCCGGGGCTTGTTGCCACTCGCCATACCGACTCTACCTGCGCCCGTATCCTGTCAATGTCAGTACAAGAGTCCGCCAAGGCAAGCATGCCTATGCCGACTCAACATCGCTCCCCGTCCAGCTCTTGTCCACCTCCCTCCAGCCAGGACCGATTCCTCCTCCCAGCCCCAGTCCCATCATCACCCTCCCAGCATCCTCCATCGACTCTGCCCAATCCTCCAGAACTGGCAGTAGCCGCAGGGCGGACAGCCCCCGCAACCCAGTATGATGAGGATGTGCCACGACTGCCATCAGGCGTTCGCGGCACATATGCTCCCACAAGAGGCTGGCTTCTGCCAGGCCAAACACAAGCTCAGCCTGGCCGCGAATAACAGCCAGCCCGTTCGAGGTGGCGAGCGCGGGTGCGGGCGCGGGCGCGGGCGTGCTCGGCAAGACGGGCCGACCACGCACGCTCCCACCTTGCCCCTTCTTCGAGTTGGGTGCTCCGGCGGCCTCAAACCTCGCAAAACTGCCAGTCCCAGGCATGAGGCAATAGTATGCCCCGTTGCGCTGAGTTCTGGGCAGGGCAACCCATTCCAAGCACGCGAAGCAGCAGGACGCGCCCTCCAGCCCCCGGCTGAGAGAGCCAGCGACAGTCCACAGCTTCGAGGCTGCAGCAACCCAAAAGATCAAACGCCCAAGGGAGCAGGAGCGTCGAATCATGGCACCAACGCGGAGCCACAATGATGTGGTAGGTACTTGGACTTTCCAAGTACCTGCCCTGTCGAACAAGCGGCCGTCTCTGCTGGGTTGGGAGACGGCCTCGCGCACAACTTGGGCCAGCAAAGGCGCAGGAGAGAGCCACCCAATGGACCGAACTTGCCGGATCCGGGCTCTACGGAGCTGGAGTGGGAGCTCCGTACCCAATATCCGGTGCACTCCTATGATGTGGTAGGTACTTTGACTTTTCCACAGTACCAAGACCACCAACTCCAGTAGCCATTCTGCTAGGTTGCAGGGCAGGTGCAAACACATTCAGGCCAGCATGACCGCCGAGGAGAGCCTATTGGATCGGGGCTTGCCGAGTCCCCAAGCAAGTAAAGCCGGTTGAAAGCCCGCTGAATTTGTAGGAATTCAGTCTGGGGCGCACCAGTGCTGTACACGAAACCCAGGCACAGACTGAGTGGAAGCTCCGTCCAGAGGCTCCTAGTGGGAGCTTCGTACAGACGACTCTCGTGGGAGCTTCGTACAGGCGACTCTGGGCCTGCTGTGCCTTGGGCACTGAAGCCCGAGCAGGTACTCCGCACTGCGGAAGCGAGAGAAGCAGGCCGGGGAGCTGAGTGGGAGCTCCGTACAGAGGACTCTGGGCCTGCTGTGCCTTGGATCGTCTAAGCAGGAGGCCGTTTCGCTGACAATTTTTGCAGTCGGCAATGTCGAGTTTCTTGCAGTCGGAAATGTCGAGCGCAATGCCAAGCAAGAGACGATACTGTCAACGACGAGAAACCAGCCAGTTTCACGTAGTAGCACTCTAGATACCGAATCTCGGGCCAAGCACCGCCGCTGCTCCCGTCTCGACCGTCTGAGCGATGTACCCGCTTCATATAATAACATTCAAGGTATCGAATCTCGGGCCAGGCACCGCCGCTGCTCCGTCTCGACCATCTGGGCAGGCCAGTAACTAGGCCTCACAGGCCGGGGAGAAGAGCAGCGGTCCCAATTTCGCTGACTGTTTCACGCCCTCCCTCTCCAAGCACTGCGTGGCCACAGACTGACAGGCTCTTCGATGATGGCAGCAGTCATCTTTACCTGCGCCTTGTCGTGCTCGACCTGATCTTGTCGAAGCCGGCAAACTCTTGGGCAGGCTCTTCGAGGACGGCAGCAAGACCTTTTGCCTGACGGTGTCGTGTGTCGTCTGGCTGGGACACGTCAAACGGCTTACTACCGTGTCGGCCAAAGAACACTTGCCTTGCTGCCTGCGCCTTGTCGTGCTCGATCTGGTCCGAGGATGGCAGCAAGAATCTCTGTCGGACGGCATGGTAATTCGAGTTGCTCAAGGCTCTGAGAGCGAATCGACACCTTTTCATGCGTCGTCGTTCGGCCGAGAAGCGTCAATCGGCTTGCTACCGTATCGGCCAGAGAACACTTGTCTTGCTGCCTGCGCCTTGTCGTGCTCGATCTGATCTTGGCGAGACCGGCAGACTCTCGGGCAAGCTCTTCGAGGATGGCAGCAAAGATCTCTGTCGGACGGCATGGTAATTGGAATTGCTCAGGGCCCTGAGAGTGAATCGACACTTTTTCATGCGTCGTCGTTTGCCTAGACCTCCTGAAATGGCTTGCTACCGTATCTGCCGGGGATGCAAAACTCCGTGACAAGCGTGGAGTCACTCATTGCAATGGCGAGGCAGTCAGCCCGACAGACGAGTTTGCCCGGTATACTCTCAGTGCCGAAGAGGAAGGCCAAGACTGGGGAGGAAAGGGCCCGGGGTCATTCTAGGCACTGAAGTTAGAGTGAATACTCAGTGCTGAGGAAGCAGTCGAAGGGTCTGCGAATGCTGGAAGGGACTCACACTGCCATGGAACTGGAACTCAGTTCCGTTGGGCAGCGAGGATCCATCGCTGCCACGCCAGAGTAGCTGGCGGTGGGAAGTTCAGGCAGGTCGGTGCCATTTTCAAAGGTGTATTTCATTCTCGAATGTGTATTCCATTCTCGAATGAGGTGTGTGAAGTTTTGGTCTCCGAGACTGGATGTTTCTTCACCAAGTACTGAAAAAGCAGGCAAATACTCCCCGAGTGTTGGAGGGGGCCGGGATGGTTGAAGTATCCCGGGGGTAAAGGGAACCGGGGGGTTGAAGCACCCCGGCTCCCGGAAGGAAAGCAGAGGTTGAAGGGGAACGACGGCGGATGAGGGAGCTGAGGGGCTGGAGTGTGATTGGTTGTGGGAGGGTATCGTCGGGGGGTGAGAGGTTCTGGCGGAGGCGACGGTCTGGAGGAGACCAAGGATCCTTCGTGGCGACCGGCAAGCGAAGCATCGGCGTGTAGACGAATTAGTATAGTACCTGGTCGGCTGACATCAGGTTATTCAGGTCACACTTACCGGTCCCTTTAGGGGCCGTCAAACCACCATCCTCCATTGCCTCCGATTTCAATAAACCTAAATAAATATCTTTTTCAGGAGTCAGTACCTGGTCGGCCAACATTAGGTGATTCAGGTCACACTTACTAGTTGCCTTAGGGGGCGTGAACCACCATCCTCCATTGCTTCCTGTTCCAATTCCAGCCCAACTAAAAAAAAAAACCATCCTCCAGCAATGTTAGCAAGTGTTGTTCAAACAGGCTCTGTGTAAATACTTACCTAAATTAATGTTAGACCAGCGCCACACCGACTCTCGCAAGAGCTTCCAACTCCGTCCTAACAAGGCGCTCCTGTATGAAGATTAGCAAGTGTGAATCAGCTTTAATTAGTTAATACACTTACCCGACAGACAATAGAAGGTAATTTCCTTTTTGTCGTCGTCGAGTTGTCGTCGGGATGTCGTCGAGTCGTCGTTGTCGGGTTGTCGTCGAGAGCCGTCGTCGAGTTGTCGTCGAGCGGTGTCGTCGAGCTGTCGTCGAGGTTGTCGTCGATGTTGTTGTCGAGGGTTGTCGTCGAGGTCGTCGTCGAGGTTGTCGTCGAGGGTTGTCGTCGAGGGTTGTCGTCGAGGGTTGTCGTCGAGGGTTGTCGTCGAGGGTTGTCGTCGATTTGTCGTCGAGTTGTCGTCGGGTCGTCGTCGGGTCGTCGTCGGGTCGTCGTCGTCGTCGTCTGTCGAGAGCGGCGGCGTCGTCCTGTTTATTAGAGTTAGTGAGTGGTAGCTAAGACTTATAAAGCAGTCAGGTAATACTCACGACGATTTCTGGGAAGGAAAAACGAGAAAAAAAAAACCCAGCCGAACCTAGAAAACTTTTGTTGACGGGCACGAACACTAGGTCGTGCCCGCCAACACAACACTAAAGAGAAGAAGATTAGCGAAGGGGGAGCCCGGGAGCCTTGGCGATTTCCTCCTCTTGTGCCTGCCCTGCCAGAGGCTGCCGAGCTATAATGATGTTAGTACCCCGTGCCGAAACAAGAACAAAGTCTGAGATGGGTCTGGGGAAATCGACGGTTTATATAGTATCTCTAGTCAGAACCAGGCTTGAGATCGGACTGGGATTGGACTTGAGATCAGGCACGGGATCAGAGTGGTTCGCAGACCGATTACGGCTGTCCAACAGTGTCTTTCCTGGAGAATCAAGGCAGCAATACGAGCTTGGTCTCGGTTCTTGCTCCCAAATCATGCTGTGGACGTCATGTGTCCGCCTCCTGACCGTCTGAGAAGACGGGACATCCAATCAATGTCTTGTTGTTTGCTTCTACTCCATGCTGTGAACATCTGTGGCCGTCCACTAGCCAACCGAGCACACTTGAAAGCCAGTCAATGACCAGTTGTTTGTTTAAAATCTATGCTGTGAATCACCGTATACATCTTCTTATCGGCTAAGAAAGCTGGAAAAAGCAATCAAGAGGTACGAGAAGTAAGTCACATCCGGTTGCTCTAACCAATTTCATGTTGTGACCATCTGTGGCCGACTCCGGCCTGGTCGAAGAGGCTGGGAAAAAGTGAGTAGGCCGTGAGAGTGAGGCATTTGGTTTTGTGAAACGGGAATAGTTTCAACATATACGCATCTACTCACTTTGTCTCATTTCAAGCGGCAGCAAGCAATACTACATGTTGTGTTGCGCAGCACCTCCAGTCCCCCTCCCCCTCCCCCGGGCACGAACACCTCGCCCGTCATCCACCACGCCGCTGTATTCTGCTGCTCAAATGTACTCGAATTGATGGCAATTCTGACTACAGTCATGTTTATCTGCTGTCGTAAAGAAAGAGTCAATCTACTTTAGTAAAGAAAGAGAAAAAACAAAGTCATGGGGCAGCCGTTGATGGGTGGCAAGCGATCAGCTACTGGTGAATACCGGCACACAGGGAAAGCAAACCTTTCCGCCACTTTCCCGGCTTTGTATCACGACGGTTACTTCTCATCGCGTCGTTATCGAATGATGTGATTGGCAGTCTCCGGGCTGTACTCTGTGGCGGGAAGGCTGGGGGGCCGTGACAAAGACGCGCACTGACACGCGACAGCAGCAACTCAAGATCTGAGTGAAAGGAAAGCTACTGAAGTGAAGGAATAGTTAATAGCATCATTTCATGATGTACAGCTTTCCGTTTGTCCTCTCTCAATTACGAGCCAACGCCGAAGGTGGATAGAGGTGGTGCAGCAGGGAGTCCTGCTAGCCCGCCACTAGGGGACCCAGCAGCCTCCGGGCTCTAAATAAGCAGCAAAACATGATTGAAGCATCGAGAGAGCATCAGAGATTGTTGACGAGTTTAATTATAATTTGGAATATTTTTTACGTTCAAGTGCTATTCTTAACGTGAATCCCTCGTTTTTCGTCTGGGTGGCGCCCCACAGCCACATAGAGACTTTTGGCAACTGCCAACGCAAACCCCACCAACCAAGTACCGTCATCATCTAAAGGGCATCTCTTGCCAGGCTCACAATGAGGACGAGAAGGTCGAATCGCATTAAAAGATATGCTGTGGAGAAGTATCACTTTGATGATAGCTCCGCTGGGGAGGATGCGAGCCCCCAGCGCCATAGCAAGGCCGAAGAAGATCAGGACGCCAACTTTGAGAATGAGGCGGCTGGTGATGATCCAGAGGAAGTAGAGGACGATGAGGGCGACGCAGCAGAGGATGACAACACCAGCATTAGCGAAGCAGAAAGTGTTGAGGTTACCACGACCCCCGCACGACGTCGCGCAGCAAAGTCGGCGTTGGAAAAGGCACCGCAAACAGCCCCTAAACAAGCAGTCAAGGCAGCCAAGCTTACTGGAGGCTACCTGGAGATCCCTCTGGCCACACAAGAGGGCAGCCACCAGCCCAAGACATACATTGGCCCCAATGATCGTGCGGTGCGCCGCCACCATCTCGTTTCAGCGTGGTACGGGCCGAGCGAGGAACGCATGGAGACGGTGCAGGCCTTACTCGATCGCTGGTTCCAATGGCCAGTGCTGCCGCCGAGGAACCCCAAGGACGAGTCGACAGTGCCGTCCAAGGGCGCGTGGTTGGAAGATTATGCGAGCAGGGAAAGGGCGCTGGCCGCTTCTTGGCGTGCCAAAGTTGAGGCGGCTATGGGTGGCCACCCACCACTGCGAGGCCTGTCACCAGCAGAGGCTGCACCGTATAGGTTTTCGACGCACAGCATGCCTGTGCTCGTCGGACCTGGGGCCTCAGAAGAGGTTTTGTTTGTCCCTGGCAGTGGATACGCGTTATCACAAGCAGGGATACCATTCGACTACGATCAGAGCGAGGAGAGGGAGCCGAGCGGATGGATGTTCGACACGGGGGGCATTGTCACGAGCATGGACTGGGCACCAAGATTACACGATCAAACGACACAGCTCCTCGCGGTTGCGGTCATGCCCCATGCCGACCAAGAGGCTCACGAATTCTCAGATGAGGCAGCCAAGACGCAGTTTCAATCTCGTGGTACGGTGCAGCTGTGGGAGGTGCAAGGAGATACGATTGATACGGGATCGGCGATGACAACAACCCTGCCTCCCAGGCTCACGAGAACGTTGTGTCTCCCTCATGGTAGGGCGAGGCGGGTACGGTGGAATCCGGTGGGTGGCCTGCTTGCGGTGTTGTGCGCAGACGGGGCAGTGTATGTGTTTGAAGCCGATGGTCCAGGTACCGAAGAATTTGGTAAGTGCAAGCGAGCCTTGTTATTGGGCGTCTATTCGCTAACTTTCCCACAGAGGAGCTCCTAAATTCTGTCGCCGTCTTGTTTTTACAAGACGAAGCTGGCATCGATGCTACAGCCATGAGCTGGGCCAATATGAACAGGCTGGTGGTGGGCTACTCGGATGGATCTGTAGCACTGTGGTCCATTTTCCCTTGCCTTTTACTGTCTCGGCATGCTGTTCATCACAGCCACGTCGTGGAGCTCGCCACAGGCTACCCAAGCATGCCGTACATTGTTGCTGCGACGCCTCTGGGCGGCACCATGCGTATTCTGGATCTAGAGGCCCCGAGTTACGAGTTCACAGAAGTCCAGGCCATCAACGTAGTGACGCAGCCCGGTCTTTTGGCTTGGAGCGACCAGATGTTGGGCTTCTTTTCCATCTATCCCTCTGCGCGCGTGAACAATACTGTTATTGGGTTCATGCACCACGCCAACTTTCCGCTCTTCCGTACGACATTTACAGGGGACAGTTTTCCGTCGTGCATCGCGACTGGTAAAACACATCCGTTTCTGCTCATTGGATTGATGGACGGCTCGGTATGGTGTATCAACCCACAAGTCGAGCACTTTAACAGCCGAAGCGATGCCACATACCGTCTTCGTCTATTCCAGCACGAGCACCGACCACATTGCTTGTTCTCGCGAGACTCGCCGGCGGGCATGCGAGGAGCATCACGCGTAGTGCAGGGGTTCGAGGTGGAAAAGAACCGAAACCCCAAGAGCGAGACGCAGCCTGCCACGAAAAAGGGCAAGGCGGTGAAGAGGAAGAAGAGCACGGCAGCAGCGGTGGAGAATGCCGACGACGATGAGGACGAAGTGCTCAAGTCGAGCGACGCTTCCCGTGCAGCGCTGCACGAGCCTCTGACAAGAGTAACGGCAATGGAGTGGAATCCAAACGACGGCTACGGTTGCTGGGCGGCGGCGGCCATGGGCTCTGGGCTTGTCCGGATCATGGATCTGGGGATCGAGAACAAGGATGATGACGAGTAAAACAATACCAAGTTTGATTGGATATGATGTAACGCTAATGTATCACTGACAATATTATGCTGTATTTATGGACATTGTGAACCTTTGGCTGTGTGATGGTAGTCGAATGCCTTGGCCATGCCGTAAAAGTGTGTGGCTGCAGCGAGAAGCACAAAGACGTGAAAGATTTGATGCGAACTGCCCCAAATGTCGAATCTGCCTGGAAAGCTCCTTTCTGGCCAGCGTGCCTAAGAAAAGCCACAGACAGTCATTAGCAGTTTTGTTCCTCGTGGACGGGGAGTTGCAGGGGCAACTTGCAGCATAGAGCACAGCACCAAAGATGTACATGGCGCCCTGGAGAATGACCCAGCTCAAGCCCATGCGATGCTCATAGTACTGGTAGCCGTGGCGGCGGATGCCATGGACTATGGGCACGACGCCAGAGACGCCTAGACTGATAAACATGGCGGCACGGTACGGACGCCATTCCGACGTACGGAAGCGCTCGACCCAGGAGACGGTCGCGCAGCCGGCACCCAAAGCGCACATCTACGCCCCAGATCACCCCCCTTTTTGTTAGTTGCCATGGCATTCCAGGGGAAAATGAACTGCCTCCTGGGAGAGGCAGCATTATTGTGTGCTTTTTTTTTTTTTTGGTTTAGACAACGTACAACGTAGAGATAGAGCCAGAACAGCAAAGGCTCGCAATAGAAGCCATAGTACAGCGCAGGCACATAGCTCCCGACAATGAGGGCGACAATGCCCGTATAGTCGAGCTTGTTGCCCCATTTGGCGACAGCCTGGCTGTGATCGAGCACGGCGTGAAAGGTGGCGCTCATGCCGAGACAGACGACGGCGCCGCCAAAGAAGCAGGCAAAGACGGCCACGTCGGCGGCGTCGGCCGACTCGTAGTAGCGGGGCGCGACGACGACGCGCAGGACGTAGCTCGCGCCCGCGATGACGGCGACGACGGCGCCCAGCAGGTGCGTCCAGATGTTGACCGACTCGTTGTGCAGGTAGAGCAGCGAGCGCGCGGCGTGGGCGTAGGAGCCCCGGATCTGGCGGTAGCCGCCGAGGATGTAGGCGTTGTCGCGGCGCCACGCGGGGAGGTCGTCCCAGAGCTGCAGGAGCGTGTCCTCGACCGAGTGCTCAATCGTCCTGGCGGCGCTGACGGCGGAAGCGGCGAGCGAGGAGGACCGCCGGCGGCGCCGGTGGACGGTGGATGTGGTGGCCATGGAGGGCGGAATTGTTCTGCTTCAGGTAGCTTCGGTGTGTGTAGGTTTTACTGCAGGCACGACGAGGAGTCTTGGGCTCGAGTTGTTGATGATGATTTTGTCGCCATGCTTTTTTTCTCGGATGAAATAGCTTTTTGATATATAAGATCAACAACTTTAAAGATTGGGCAGGTAGATTGTTTGTTGGAATGGGTCTGGCGTGTTTTTTGTTGGGGCTCACATGGGAATTTCTTGTCGGCGCGCGTTTCCGAGGCTCGCTGATGGTGTTGCAAACGAACGAGTTGAGGGAAAAATGCTATTATTCGAGTCAATTAATACGTCGGCATCGGAAATCATCTTGTTGGATATGATTCTAGCGAAGAAATAATTATTTCTGTTGAATGACAAGCGTAAATCACTATTTGCACGAGTTTGGTTTTAAGCACTCCCCAGCACGTTGCACGTTTCTTACCAAGCAGGACGTCGAGCATGTGTATTTCATTTTCAAATCTCTACAAGATTTCCCAAACAAACTTTCATTATACAGCGTTCCAGTTTTAGCGGGATCGTTAACACGCTATGCGCATAGAAGAGACTATTAACAATTTAGAAAGGGCCAGCAACAAGCAGCATTTTCTCACCATTCCCTCGTCATTGCCTCAAGAATAGTAGAACAATAGCTCCCGGGTAGTGTCTACGGACCAACTGAGACCTCGCAGTTATCTCGTCTCTCGTTTTTTCTACACTCAATCAAAACGAATCCGTCCCATATCATTTCGTGCGACGCCGCGGTAAAGTGCAGGCAGCGTCTACTCCCGAGGCGCATACGCCACTTGTAGCACCAAGTGGCACTCCCCTCTGTATGCAATTAGAAAGGGTCATACAGAATGGTACTTCTACCACGCAGTCGGCGGCCAGACGGCTTCTCACTCGTATTCAAAAGCTTGGCTCTAACATTGCAGTAAAGTACAGTCAAAGAAGATCAGTCGCCGTCATCAAAATTATCCTCCTTGGTCGGATGTACCTGAAGCATTCGACGGCGTTGTTGAAAGGACGTCGCCCACGCTCGGAAGAAAAGGTGAAAGCATTTGGAAAATGGACATAGCCGCCTTCTCCCTAATATTGACTTGATGGCACTGCCAACGCATGACTGATGCTGCAGCTTACAAGCTGCAAGTGTAGTTGGCCCGCTGGCCATCCAGATTTACAATGGCGTCGTCTTGGGTCGTCCACGTCGCTCTGCTCTGTGCCTGACTTGTGTCCAAAATCGCTTCCATGGTTGAGATACTTGCAACTCTGTTATCTCTCATACTATCCGAAGGGCGGTGCAAGATGTAGCCGATTAGTGTTTGCGATATGACGGCCGATGATAGTGCTTGTATCCATGTGGCAGCTCCGTCACCTACATTCACCACTATGCAGAAGTGCACCGTGACACATCTTGTCCAATACTCTCCGAAATGATTTGCTTAATTGGAAGAAGCACGCATAAATGGAACCCGAGCCATTCATGTACTTGATGGCCATGAATTACTTGCTGGGAATTATGCAAGAGATGGGAGAGTTGGAAGATGCGGAAGCATTCGTCACCAACATTCTATATACCCTAAAGTCAAACTCCCGGCCGACTCCCACCGCACACTGCTGGCTATGATCAATCTAGCGGACACCTACCTTATGTAAGAGAGATGCAAAGATTGCTAAAGAGCTGCAGTTGCATGCCATCAGCAAAAAGACTGCCAAGGCTGGGCCGAAAGATCATGATACACTCAATTACAAGTCCGCGCTGGCAACAACATACTACTCAGTATCGGCCAAAGAAGCGACAACGCTTGAAATGGAGGCTTTGGAATGTTTCAAGAGGTTCTCGGTCCGGGTCATTACGAGATTTTGTCAAGGATGAACACCTTGGGCGTCAACACACTCGGATCAAGACAGGTCTGAGGATACGGCACTAAAGTTGCAAGCTCTGGAACTGCATCTTTCTCCGAAAGATGCGTAGGATTAAAGATACTCTCCGAACGCAGGCTCATCTGGCGCAAAGTCTCAGCTCCCTGTTATAGTATGGCCAATCAATGAGTCTCGAAACAGGTCTTGTACAAACAACAAGTTCACTACAACACTCGGGGCCCAACCATGCCGACACATCAAGCAACATTGAAGAAGTACGACTACTATGGATGATTCAAGAATATGCACCCTTAGATTATGGAGAGCTCAGTTCGGTGAGCTCCAGCATGGGACTATTTTCAACACCACCAGACTTGCTATTTGACGAGGGCGGAATTCGATGATAGAAGCAAACGTCATACGTCACAATATGAGCTTCGCTGAATCTGACATTGGCGAAACAGTCTCAAAGACTTGCCATGCATGTACAGATGTTTCAGTCTTAGAAAGTTGGAGGCAAGAAAGCTGCAGCGTCAAGCTTTGGAAGCTCTCAAAACGAAATTTGGTACGCGATATGACAAGACACTGGGGATAATGATACGGATTTTGAGATTAGCAAATGGTGCGAGCAGGACTTTACCCGTACTTATACGGCTTGCGCCGACGTGTATGTGATTTGGGGGATCTCTGACAATATCACATTCTCGATAATGATGTCAAGTTTTCGATTTTTTCTCTTGAAACAAAATTTCATGGACAACATCAAGCCATTCTGCCGCGATTATATGGATAATCGAATTACGGTGCAAGTAGGCTGTCGTAAACATTGTGCTTTGCATGTAGTGACGGACTTCACTTGGACGTTCACCATGTACCCCGCACAGGCGAACAAGGCTCTCAAGCTTCAACATGCAGCTTTTCCATCATCTGTTTTCCCTCCACCAACGCCATATTTCGGCGTCGGACACGCGTATGCCGTCAATATGGCAACTGTCAATCACACCAACCCCGCGCAGCTCCCCCTCGACCAGCAGCTCACGCATCTCCGCGCCGTCCTCTCCACCAACAAGACGCTCGTCACAGTCCTCGAGCGCGTCGCGACCCTAAACCTACCAAACTGGTATCTGGCAGCCGGCGCCGTGTCCCAAACGATATGGAACCACGTGTCGGGGATGGCGCCGCCCGACACGGGCATCTCCGACTACGACGTCGTCTACCACGACGGCGGCGACCTCTCGTGGGACGCCGAGGACGCGCACATACAAAGGGCCAAGGCGCTGTTTGCTGACATGCCCGAGGTGGAGATTGAGATACGCAACCAGGCGCGCGTCCATCTGTGGTACGAGAACAAGTACGGGGTACAGTGCGCGCCGCACGAGAGTGTCGAGGCGGGGATCGACTCTTGGATCTCGACGACGGCCATGATTGGGATACGGCTGAACGAGGATGGAGGCTCGTGGTCGGTTTATGCTCCTAGGGGCTTGTCAGACTATTTCAAAATGGTTGCGAGGCCGAATACGGTGCTGGGGCTCAAGAAAGACTACGACAAGAAGGCGGCGCGATGGAAGAGGATATGGCCCAAGCTCACAGTTGAGCCGTGGCCAACAAACTGAAGTCGATGATTTGCGTCCTCTGCACCTATAGGATCTTTTGTACAGAGCACTTGTCCTTCTGGCAGCTGGTCAGCGACTGCATTGTGTTATGTAAGAGTGGCAGACTTGTTGAAGTCGGTTCGGATGTATAGTTATTCATACAGCGTAATACGCATTGTCCCATTGCGATGAATATATAACAGGTCATGCATTTAACAATCCAGCGCAGTACTGCGTGTTTTTGGCCTTTTTTAATCGATCAGCGAGTCCCGTTCAAAACAGCTCTATACATCTACAGCTATGCATAGAACGCTGACTCAAGATTCTTGCTGGCCCGCGAGAGGTACATGTCTGGCTTACAAGTCAGACCGTTCTCTGTTAGATAGCAGCGATACTCTTCTGAAGCATGGTCAGGTTGGTCAACCCGTCTAGATGGGAGGTTATCTCGAAGACATGGGGCATGGAGCATGGCTTGAGGTCGGTCAACCCCTCGAGATAGGACATATTCCGAAGGGATCGAGCACAGAGCTTGGCTTGAGTTCGGTCAAACCCTCGAGATAGGGAATATCTCAAAGCCATCGAGGACGAAGCACCTTAGGAACACAACCAAGTATGCAGGCTTTGTCGTTGGCCGATAGCCCACGTCTTACTCTCATCGAATGCCTCTCACGCCCCGGCGTTTATCCGCCGTGTAAATACATGTCAAAAGAAAGCCCCGCAAAGGGATTTAGCTTCTTCTCAAGAGCCTCACCGTGTGTCCCCTTTGAGCCATCTCAGCAATTGCCGGCGAGGCTAGGTTCCGCCACACAATCCACACAATCCACGTCAAGACCGCATTCCAGAAGCCTCGTCGTTGACACTAGATATTGACATTTCAACAATCATCCAAGCGGCAAGATAGGGGCAAAATAGAGGCAAAATACCCGGCCAAAACTTGTCCTGTGTAGGCTTGGCGTTCTTCTGGTGGCGGGAGGAACATCCTTGAGGACTAGTTCGTGTATAGCAGACCCTAGGTGTCGGACCAGCTTCCAGCCGCCTGGGGAGCTTTCGCGATTGGACCCCTTTGCGGCCGGCTCTTTTCGACTCCTTGATTTCTCTCATCAGATATGCTACTGTAGAAGGTCGATCTCACTTGTCCATGTCCGGTGAACTCTACTTCTGCTTCCGGCAAAGCCGACGATGGTGTGGGGCCGATCGACGGCGGCCGGAATGGAAATACGGGGACTGCGCGGGACCACTGTTACTTTGCCCCCCGGGAGTCTGGACTAATTGCTGGAGGCTTGCGAGACTATCAATACAGAGTTTTTGACAAAATTCGGGACTCATGAGGTCACGATCGTCACGTTCTACCTACCGCATGTAGTGTCTTTGCGTAGATCTCTGAGGACTTTGCCTCATGTACCGATGTTCCGATTTACTTTGACTACATCGGGCAAGAGCGGATACAGCAAAAACTCTGTGCAGTCGACAACCGAGAGACCATTTTTGAAGCTATAAGTCGTGTTATCAGACTGATAAATTAACCCAGAACGTGACTCGCGTCTTGTAAGTTGTGTAACAGAGCCCGTGGCTAGCAAGCAAGCCGTTGTAGCAATGACAGTATCTGTATACTGCAAAGTTTTAGATAGCCTTCAATGGATAGGCGACGCAGGACGACTTGAGCTCATCAAGTTCCAGGGTCGCCTTGATGCAATTCCACGTAGCTCAATGTCGCCGATGCAAAGACATTAGTATCGCCGCTTGCTCCTGCTGAGCGAGAGAATTCATGGGGGAGAGTTTGTAGATTGTCGTTCTCGTGGCAAGATGGTCCACTGCAACTTTATCGATAGATCTAGGCTGAGATTCAACGATGGAGTTTGCTCAGGTAAATGCTAAACATTGTGCCGTACGGGATGTGAGATTAAGATTTCCAACAAAAAATGTCTAAAACACTTATCAGAGATCTAGAACTATGCCTATAATCCGTACCTCGGGCAACAAAAGTAAATCGTACGCCACAGGTATCAGACTAAGCTTCAACACTTTACGCATGAGTAGCACATACGGCAGCAAACGTAGATTGCAGCCAGCGATAGCATGTCACTAATGAGACATTACGATACTTTACTATAGATGGGGACAGGTCAAGAGCAAAGTTGCGCAAAAGAGATATCGAGTCCGGCAGTCAAGAAGCTCTGGCGTATTGAGTATCATGTTTCATTCCTCGGCGGCTCGGCGTCTTCCATCGGGTCAATCAACGGAAAACAACCCTTCTTCAAGACATGGATGACCCTGGTTGCATGAATAACCTGCGCCTTTTGCAAGCATCTTTGGAGAGGCTCCGAGATGACGGATTCGCTACTGCCACCTGCACTGTCACCCTACACGCAGAGACCTGAAGTCTCCATTTCCCGCCCGGTCTCGCTGTTTGCCACCATGAGAAGCCGGATGTGGGCAACTCAGACAGCTTTTTTTGCCGAGAGCCTCCGAGTCTTTGGGGGGAGGGGGGACGCGCGGGCGGGATATTACTGCAGGTCGGGGGTGATATTGCTGCTGCAAGCCGCGGGATATTGGCAAAGTAGGTGGTATGACATGGGTTGCGAAGCCCTTGATGTGTGGCAGTTGGAACGGAACAGCAGACATGAAAAAAATGCAATGCAATGCCGCCTCAAGGGAAAAACATGCGCTTCTCCGTGGCACAGGCGCTCGCCCCCTCCCCCCCCCTTCCCCCCGGGGCACAGCCATCGCGAGAACATGCTCGTGCCGGGGCTGGGCTTTTTGTCGACGTGGCACATCACACGAGCAGCGGAGATGGACAGGATCTTGCATTGATTGCCTGGGCTCCGGTGGGCGATGATGACAAGAAAGGAAAGGGTCAGGTGCGCCCTGACGAGTGCGTTGCGTCAAAGGTGGATGGATGGGTTGGTCCTACTGCCATGTCGAGAACCTTTTTTTTTTTTTTTGCCCCTACAATCCCATTTATTTCAAAAACCAAGTGGCTGCGAGACCTCGCATCAACATTTGCCGTGTCGCAGATCCCCCCTTCGGGAATAGGCCTCTCCGCGGAAAAAGAGGGTGCCAACCGTCCACGACTCAAACGCCACACGGGCTTATTTAGTTTATCTTTGTGTGTTTAAGGCTACATCACGCGCATAAAAAAAAACTGCAAGTTTGTAAATAGCAAACAATAAACTGCCCATTCCGACTTTGTTTTGCCTGATTTGTGTTTTTTACTGGGCGGTGAAAGGGGACATGAAGACATGAACAAGGGCGGCGGTTGCAGCTGGGTGTTGCTTCACCGCCATGTAACGTGCATATATCAGAAAAGTAGAAAGCGGTTTTGCTGCAGGTTGGAGAAAAAAGTACAAAGAATGGCAAAACACAGCTCTAGCAGTGCCGGAAATAATGATGACAGGCTTCTAGCTTTAGCCATTCATAGGAAAAGTGACGCTGGAAGCTGGCAGAATAAGAAGTATACACAAAAAAAGGCCAAAGGCGTCAGGATTTGGGTGTGAATAGTCGACAGTCTTTGTCCCACTGCCGCCGAGCCATATTGCTTCTTTCTTTCAAATCAGGCTACGGAGGCAGGCTCTTATTCGCCCGCTTACAACGGCAGGTTTGCTTCTGTCATTTTACGCTTTCCCAACCTCCTTGCTCGCCATGTGCACAGAGGCATGCCAAAATAAGAAAGCATGACGTGTTTTCATGGCCGTATGGGTAGCACAGCAGAAATGTTGTGCCCCATGATGGTGACTTGCATTTAATTTGACAGCATGTCCACAAGTCGCCGACTCAAAGTGGCATCTCCGTCCCGTCGGGGACGCGGGAACCAATCATGTCTCACACATCAATAGCTGGGGCACACAGACCGCGGGGTTGCTTTTGTGTCTTGGACCTCTGGCGGTGAGCAGCACACCAGATTCTGTCCTTTTTTTGCTTTCGACGGGCCCCGTGTAAGTCAAAGCCGAAGATTTTGACTGTTGACTACTTTTTTTTGTAATAACTCGTCATAGTGCAAGTGATGAATGCATTGCATACTGCAGTGGATTGAGACAACTCTACAGTAACAGGCACAAGGGTCATCCAGGCACCGAGATGTAACAGAAGCAAGTAGTTGCGATCCCTTTGTAAGCGGCCGCGATGCTTGCGCCGCATCCTTGCTTCACGACAGGCGCGTGAGTCGCATGCAAATTACAGTCTGACGTACTTGGTAGAACGTGTTGATGCAGAATTTGCGGCGTTTACACTAATTAGTTAGCCTGGATCGGACAGAGGCCGCTGGCATTCCGGGTGCCGAAGCTGACGGCGTCCCGGCTCTCGAAAATCGAGCCGGCTCCGGGACAGGAGGGGGGGTTGCCTCCTCGCCCTTGGCAAGGTCGGGTCACGTTGGCCGTTTCTCAGCTCAGGCGAGAAAGTGTGTGTGTGTGACAGCTAACTAATAAACTAGTGTGACGGCGCAGAGTTGTGCTCGCTTCGCTCAGCCGTGGCCTGGAAGACAACGCAAACTGGGTGACTGGGTGACAGCTGCTACCCACCAAGATATCGAATATTCCAGTAGCATGAAACTCAAAAAATAGACTGCCTCGCCCTTCAGTGCAACCAACAAGAGCGCAGAGCGCCCTAGAGAGGGCGTAAAAAGCCACGGCTTGAATCCGTCGCCGTTCAACCCCACACGATATTTACTTATTCCCTTGTGCCACTAATTAGCGTCACATTGGACGTGTGAGGCTGTCCTGTATGTACTTGCATCTCAAACAACCCAAACGTGCAAGCCATAGATTGCTGTGCCAATCATGATCCAGCATCATTACACCCACTTGTAGTACCTGGCTTGGAACAAGTTTACTCCAAATCGGACAAATGCCCCCAGTTCCTTCGTCCTTTTCGAGGTCTGGCTGGTCTGTCGTGGTCTGGGCTCCTGCAGTCATGTCGAGCCCACCACCCACCTCTCGCCTCACCCTTCTGCATGGCAAGGCTGGCGGGGGCAAAGATGGGGGGCGCTTATCAGCAACCACTTGTGGTCAACATGCTGCTTTTGCACTGCAGGAAGCTGTCCGTCGTGCCGTCGTCACTAAAATAAAGAAACGGTTGTAGCTCCACATTCAACTCAGCCAGATGCCAGGTGTGGCAGGCAAGGGAGGACGGCCTACTCCACCAAGCCTTTCCGTTGAGAGAGTTTTTTGTTATATGACGATTATTAGCGTTGATTGTTTTTAGACTTTCATCATCAGCCGTCCCGCGCGTAATCATGCAATGCAGTCACAGGGCGAAAGATGCAATCAATGTAGAAGGAGACGGAAGGACAAAAGCAAATCATGCGGTGCTCTGGGGCGGTAAGTCAAGTCGTCCGAGGATCTACGGATACTTGTCCACGTTATCAGTTTTTGTTAATTATAACGGATTACTTGTAAGATAAATGAGGCGTGCATGCATGCATGCATAGAACCCATCCAGCGTTTTTTTTGGCGACGTAATGGGCCGATCGCCTTCTCATCAAAATGCTTGTCCGGAGGCACGGACGGCCCAGCAAGACTAGCAATAAGACAGAGCGGCGGTGCACGTCCCCCCATGACGAATCTCGGCACTACGGCTTACAATTTTATTGATGGACGATTTACGGGGCAATAACTAACTAGGGTTGGGTAAAAAAAAAAAAAAAAAAAAAAACGAACCAGTGACGGGCCATCTGTGCGCAGAGTCGTAGACTCACAGACTCCCGCGGGCCAATGGGCTTACGTGGCCAAGCAGCCAATCATCTCTGACGGGAGCGCCGGGGATGGGGGGGCGCAGAGAGAGCGGCGTATCGCGTTGGCCTGTGCGTAAAGCTGACCCTCGCCCAGACAATGGAGAATGGCTTGGAGTCTGTGTGCGGAAGAAGAGTGTGCCGCCTTCGCTGCGACGGTAGATTTGGAGATGGGCGGGCTACCATGAAAAGTTTAGCGCCGCCGAGGGTTGTTCTAGGTGTTGTCCAACATATCCGTACTGCCGTAGTGGCAGGAATGTTGAGCCAATCGTACCAGTAATATTGGCCTATATTGGCCTCTTGCAGACCTGACTCACAGAGATGAAAGATTGGTTCAATGGTTCCCGCTCTATCTGTCAGTGCGGACAGATCCCGACAAGTGGCAAGCCGCGTGTTAGTCACCAGGCAGCTACCATTGGGAAAGTTGGCCACAAAATCCTTGAGATTACGGGTAATACTGGAAAATCAGTCAATATATTGGCTGCACTTTTTGGGCCGTGTTAGTGGTGGTATACTTGTTGCAGATTACATATCATGATCGTGATGCGCATACTAACTATGTAAAGAGGACACATCACTCGCTACTTGCTCAAGACCCATCCGAGAAACGAATCAGCGATAGTGGTTTATCATTATTTAATTACTAGCTCACGGCAAGCCGAATAGCCAAGATCTTCAAGACCCACAGCCATGCCGTAAAACCTCGTCTAGACCCTCTTGCGTCGTCGACTATACAAGAGTGACTTTTGAAGATAGGGACAGCAGAGAACGCATCCGAGGCACGTGTATTACTGGTATTATACATACGCTTGCGGTCATCTACCGTACATCATACATGATGGAAGTCGCCGAGCGATGGATGCATGATCCACCAGCAGAAGCCAGCAATGCACCTTTCTTCATTTCCCATGGGCGCATCGTGAACGGGGTGGGGATTTGACCAAGACAAGTCGTTACTGGTTCACGAAGGGAAAAAAAAAAAAAAAAAAGAAAGAAAGAGAAAATAAATAAAACGCCATGCTGACCTTCGTGGACCAGTTTGGCTTGGCCCAGCCCGTGGAAGCGCCACCGGGGACGGAGAGCCCTGCCATCCTGCGTGACGGTCCAAGCCCCCATCACAAGCACAAAAGAATCTGCAAGGACAGGGGGGTTTCAAAAAAAAAACAGACGAGGAAGATATCCGTAATTGAAAAAAAAAAAAAGAAAGGAAGAGCTCCACTCGTATTCTTTTCTTTGAAGCAGTGGAACTAAATAATGACTATCACGAAGCTCATCGCCCTACGCTAAACTGTGAACGGTCCTAAAAGGCTCGCAAGCCAAGAGAAGAAGCGGAAAAGCGAAAAAAAGGCTGCCCACCACAACCCCCCCCCCCCCTGCTGACAAGTAGAAAAAAGTGTGGATGATGGGGGATATTGAGTGATGCAGGTGCAGGTTGGTGGCGGCGGCGGCGGCGGCGGTGGTGGGCTGAGGAGGAGGCAAAGGAGGGTGAAAAGCCAACTTGGAACAACTTTGGGCTTAGCGGGCTGCCGGCTGCGCCTTGTTTCTTTTGTCGGTCGGGGATTATATTTTATTGCAGAAGAATAATGTGACACTTGTTCATTTTAGCCTCGACGCCATGTGACGGTTGAGCAAGCAAGGATGTTGTTGGGCAAGATCGGCTAGAACCCCTCCTTTTTTTATTTTGTGATTTGAGTATCAGTACGGATGTACGGATAATTTTTGCTAACGTTTAGTTTAACTTTAGTTCCTGGTTAGCTCTCGTATGTATGTACTTGTGGCTTTTGGCGTAACTAAAATCCACAACAGCCAGAAACGGCGATCCAACCCAAATTTAGTTTTGCGTTAGCTTCTTGTCAGTTTTGGTCAAACGGCTTGTCACAATCTTTGGTTCGAAGCGAAGCCGCTTTGTCCGTCTTAAAAATGGGGGTTAAATTGGGGTAAATTGATCACTTCGTCCAATACTTCCATTTGAGGTCACAGAAGCAACGAATAGTTTGTAAATAGCTTGTCAAATGTGTCTTTTGCATTTGCTAGCTAAAAAAAATCTTCCCTTATTGGATTTAATGTTGAAGCGTGTTCTGGGTTCGCCAGCCGCCCGCCTGCCTCTGTTGGACGAGCCCAAGTTCTTTCTATATCCCAAAATGCCCAAATGCCAACCTGGCAATATACATCAAAAGAGGAAAAACAAAAAGGTGACAAGAAATTCGGAGAAATAAGACGCGTAATTTTGATATTCGAACCGGTTTGGTTGACAACCAGATCCCTCCCAATTCGCGGATTAATAAAAATGTTTTTGTTTTCGTGAGTGTCCATAAAACCTGATTTCCCTTTTGCACCAGTTGCGGAAAATGAGCCAAAACAAAAACTCCCTGCAAGTCCCTTATTCGACTGAACAGTAAATAAAAATCTTATTCCGCTGCGCCGAAACATGCGAAGCGGTGGTCAACCGCTAAAAAAAAGAACCGACCGAGTAAGAAAAGGGTCTGATTTGTGTTGCAAATCGTAAAAACAAAAAACTCCACGCTAGAAAGACGAGAAAAGAAAAGTGGTGATTGGTTTGGAAAAGAGTCAAGTTTGAAAAGTTGTGCGTGAATCGACTGGAGGGGGGGATGGAAAGAGATCAACTCCAATCCCCAGTGTGTTTTTGCTGGGGGTGTCCATCTGGCCCAGCAATGCGCAAGATCTCAAAACAGCTCCAAGAAATAATAATAAAGAGGTTTTTGGTCGACTCGTGAGAGTCTGAAAGATTCTTTTGTACAGCAAAAAAGAAAAAAAAACAAGGTTACTTAGTAACCTTGAAAGGAGGGGAGAAAGGACACCTGCTGGTGAAAAGGCGAGGGGTGTTGCATGACGGGTGATTGCTGAACCAGCCTGACCACCTCCCAAAGCGGGAAAAACGACTTGGGCTGGCAAGGCTGCGAGGGCAGCGGCGTGGGAGCCGCTTGCATAGCTAGTTGCTGATGATGCATCAAGGCCTGTTGTTGCGAGGGGAGGATAGGCACTTGGAGGGGTGCCTGCGCAGGGACGGGGCCCTTGTAGTGCTGGGGCACATAGTCTTGCGTGTGGTAGACGGCTTGCGACATGACGGCATCCTCGGCGTCGTAGGTATGGGGGACAAAGTCGTTGATGATGCCTTGTTGTTGCTCCTGCATAAACTCCTCGTCGAGGTCGTCGACGGTGGAAACGCTGGAAGCGAGGGACCCTTCCTCCGAGTAGTCGGAAGCAGGCGACAGAGCATCCTCGTAGTCGTACTCGTCAATGAGAATGTCCTCGGGCATAATGGGCTCCTCCTCCATGACGACAGGTTCGGGGCTGGCGGCGGGAGAAGAAGAAGAAGGCACGGTAAAGCTGGAGCAGGCCATGATGCGGCTGCGGAGCTCGGGCATGGTAATGCGCAGCTCGGGGTTGGGGTGAAAAATGCGTCCGAGAATGTGGTCGAGTTCGTCAGACAAGGGCAGAATCGTCTTCAAAAACCCGGGCGAGCGAATGTAGGCGCGGTACGTCGAGTCCTGGACAGAGGCCTGCTTCCAGGGGTTGCGGCCGCACGTCAGGTTGACCAGGATGACGCCGAGGCTCCAGACGTCGTTGGGCGCGCACATGTAGAATGGGTTCCGCGTGGCGGGCTCGAGGCACTCGGGGCTCATGTAAAAGGTAGAGCCGCAGCCGTAGTCCTCGGAGCGGTCGTCGGCGGTGGCCAGGCCAAAGTCGGCCAGCTTGACCGTCTCTCCTTGGTCCGTCACCAGAATGTTCTCGGGCTTGAGATCGCGGTGGTAGATGCCGAGCTTGTGGCAGTGCTCGACGGCGTCGAGGATCTGGAGAAAGGCCTGCTTGGCCAGCAGGTCGTTGCCCACATAGTGGCCGCGCTCGGTGATGTTGAGGAACAAGTCACCCTCGGGGCAGTACTCGAGCACGACGTAGATGCAGTCGACGTCATTCATAATCTTGTGGATAGAGACAACATTGGCGTGGGCAGACGCCTTGTAGTGCAGGTTGATCTCTCGTTGTTGATATGCCACTTGGCGGCTCTCGAGCGGAGTGCCATCCACATTGTACTTGCTCAGACACTTGACAGCATAGCGGATGCCCGTCTTGATGTCAATGGCAGAGTAAACTACTCCGTAGGCACCAGTGCCTAGGATGTCAGTCAGCTGCAGCTTGCCTTCGAGCAGGCGTCCTAATCTCTGCTCCGGGGCCAGAGGCACGCATCGTGCAGTCTGGTAGTGGCGGGTGTACTGAGATTGCCGAGGTTGTTGTTGGAACTGGCACTTGTCGTATGTTGGCGAGGCAGGTGGTGTAGGATACCCAAAGGGAACATGGCTCTGCATATTAGACTGAGATAAAAAGGCTCCGGGGAGTTTTGGAGAGCTGGGTTGGGTATAAGTCGGCGGATGGGGGTTCCCTTGGGGGTTTCGTCGTTGATATTAAAAGATGATATCCATTCAAGGTTTTCTCTCCGTTCAGCAAAGAAGACAAGGTTGGGTTCAAGTGTGACCAAGGTGGCCACAAGGTGTTGTTGTTGTTGGTGGTGGTGGGTGGTTTCCTTGTTGGGTGGTATGAACTGATATGTCGAGGGCCGAACAAACGGGTCGAACAAGAGAAGAGGTCCTGGAGGTTTGGGGGTGTGTGGACGTTTTAAACGGCAAGACCCAGAACACAGGAAGAGAAGTAGAAATGTAGTATTAAAAAAAAACTACAGGTCGACGAAACGTAAACCCTGATTTTGGATGAGAGGAAGAGAGACAAGGGGTTTTTTCTTTTCTTTTGGAGGAGGACTGGAAGGAATGTCGTGAAGAAAAGGGTTTCGTAGGTATGTACAACGGAGTTTGATATCAAGAAACGCTTTCCTCGGCCGAAGCGGGCATGTCGAGGTAGATATTCTAAAGTGCAGCAGCAGGCAACTAAACCAGGGACGGGCAAATAAGTAGTTTAGAACAAGAACAGCCAAATTCATGGCCACCCAAAGGAGCCACATAACGAACAAGGCCGCACCAGGCAAAAAAAGAAATAAAAGAAATAATAATAATAATAATAAATAAAATGAATCCACACACACATTGACACACACCCCTCTCTCTCTCAACGCCGGCCTCGCGACTAGTAAACCAGGTGCCAGCCAGCGAAAAAGAGGCCCGCTTCAAAGCAACAAGACAAGACAAGACGAGTTGCGGGTCACGTCGTGTACACAAGTACTGGGGTACGTACCAAAGCCCCCCCAGTCCCACATGAAAGAGAGAGAGAGTAAAAAAAAACCCGCTCGCCGCTAACCAGTAGTTGCGTCTTGTTGTTGTGTCTGGGACGGACGGGCTTGCGTGGAACATGCACTAACACGCCGAGGGTTCCACTCAAACCTCATCAGACCCTGGCCGCGGTGGGAATAGATTAATGCATGGAGAGTGGGTTGGAGGGGGGGAGGAGGAAGAGGAGGCGGAGGAGTCTTGTCTTGACCGGATAAGTGGCGCTGATGCAACACCTATTCTTAACTAAAACTGTGTGCCATAGGCCCATAACTCACAAGGTTTTGACTGCCTGCCTAGAGGGCTTGGGGAGGTACCCGCTTTCCCTCCTTCTCTGCCTATCTTTCTCTCACACACAAGTTTTGTTACTGGTACTCTTCTTGATGGGCGGTGGAGTCAAACAGAAACCCGTCAAAAAATATTGAACCAAAGTCGGTCGAGGTTTGGCGCTGGTCGCTCTGGTGGAGAGAGATAGAGCCAAAAAAGCAAAGAGGAGCAAGGAGAGAGAGAAGGGGTGGTGCTCTTGATGGATGGGTTGCCTGCTGCTAGCGGCCAAGGCCAGCAGCCAGGGATCGGTGGCTTTGGGGCAAAAAAAAAAAAAAAAAAAGAAGTGTGACGCTGTGCAATATACGAAAGAGCCAAAAGGCGGTTGCGTGGTCTGACGCATCATTGCCAAAGTGGTTCTGCATCTGTGTCATGATCAGCGTCCGCCTCTTTACGCCGCCTGCTTGCTCGCCTCCCTTGTGCTTGGGTCCCCAGGCCAGGCTGCCGAGCAAGCCCCCCCCCCCCCCCCCCTCCTTCCCCTTCCTTCCTTCTTTCTTCCTGCAGTTGTGTGTGTTGTGTGTTGTGTGATGGCCAGGCCTCGTTGCCCAGCCCCATTGGCCCAGAGTTGCCCCCAAGTATGCAACAGACCGTTGTTTGCTGCCCAAGAGCGCTACTAAGCTCTTTTGCCCCCCCCTCTCTGCCCCTGCCAGCTGCAAAAAGAAAAAGCTGCTAGTGTCATGGCGGCGGTCCCAGTTACGAATAGTGACCATTTGGCAACGCCTCTTGCTGAATTTTAGTGGGATTCTACCAAAAAAGTTGCTGCCCAGCTGGCCGTCCGTTCCCCCCCCCCCCCGGGCCTCTGGAACTCCGTCTCGGATTACCCTGCTTGCCTTGCTGATGATGCCCGCTTTTTACGTGGTCGAGACAAGGGACCTGCTGTTCCTCGTGACTGCGAGCTTCTGTGTGTTGCCGCCGCCAGCCCCGAATAGTTCAATCCCGACGTGCCTAGTCCGGG